TTTAATATTCACGTCCTCCTTGCCTTTGGAGTCCATATTTGAGAAAAAGTATGCAATGTTTGACTTTGTAAGATGATCTTTGATTCTATTCATTTTCCTTCAAATAACACATCATTCTTCTTTATAAATGAAAAATGTGTCATATATTTTTTCATTATTATCCATTTGTGTCTTAGCTACCTTTCTATTGCTATGATAAAACATTATGACTGAAAGCAACTTGAAAAGGAAAGGGTCTATTTCATCTTACAGTTTACAGTCCATCACCCTGGGAAGTCAGTCAAGGAATTCAAGACAGGAACCTGGAGACAGAAACTGATGGAAAAATCTGGATAAATACTGCTTACTGCTTGTTCCTAATGGCTTGGGCAGCCAACTTTCTTATATACCCCAGGACTCCCAGCCTAGATATGACTCTACTCACATTGGACCTGACTCTTACACATCAATCATTAAATAAAAAAAAAAAGTCCCACAGGCTAGTCTACAAGCCAATCCTAGGGAGGCAACTTCTCAGTTTTGGTTCCTTCTTCTCAGATAACCCCAGCTTGTGCCATGTGAACAAAACTAGCCACCAGAGCAATCTGTTAATTGGAGTCTATGCTGATCTCACAGTTTGAATATTGTGAAGCAATAAACATGGATATGCAGTTATCTTTGTTGTAAGTTGACTTAGATCACTTGATGGCATACCCACAAATTTATGGATCATATATTTCACGTGAATTTTTAACTTTTAAGAACCCCCCCCATACTGATTTCAAAGTTGCTGAGCTAACTGTTCTCATTTCAGAACACTCGTCTTCGTGGATTATGACATAGTACTTGATAGCATAAATGCAGTCACAGAAAAAATGCATAAAGCAAACCCCAGCCAAGGAACTGACAAGTGTTCTCCACACCTGTCTATTCTCTAAACAAACTTAGGTTTGTCTGATATAAAAGCTAGACATGAAAAGGAGGGTTTTAATTCAAAGTTCACACTCTTCCAAATGCATTTTTTAAAAAAAAAAAAAAAACTAGATGCTTTACAAAATCCAGAGTGCAAGCTAGGACCCAAGTTGCAGAGCAATTACATGGATTTCTGCATTTGGAAACTTGCTCTTTCCAAGCCGCAGAAATGAAAACAAAGCGTATATGAAAAATGACTGTCCCGCTGTTCCATGAGTGTTTGCATGCTGTTTCCCAGCAGAGACCCAGCCTCAGACTTGTGCACACTCAGAAAGGTAAAAGACAGCATTCGGGGAATGTGAGATTGGAGGGATGGAACGCATCCCTTTTGTTCCTTGCCAAGCTTACCTTGACATTTACTTTTATAAACACAATCAGCAAAGGCTGTGCAAAGAAATTAGCTTTTGAATCTACATCTGGAGTTCTTCTTGGCTGCCACATTTTAAACCAGCTAAGAGAGTCATTCTCTCCCTTTCAGCAATGCTAATTTGCGTTGCATCTCTTGTCTAACTTCCTTTTTCACTAGGAATAGCATCTTCTCCTTGTCACAGCAGGGTGACATGAAAGCCCTTAATGTCACCTTTGTTTTAGACTAGCCATCCTAACGTGTGCTGATGGCCAGGCAAAGGGAACACGGAAACACTGAAAATTACTTTGTTGCTGGGGTTACAGCTCATTCATTTCTTCTTTCGCTCCTATGTTAGAATGTTATCCTAGAACTGAGTTAAGAAGATGGAGGTGTACAGGTACGTCCATCTAAATGTTGCCTTGAATGTGTTTAATCTTCCTGAACAATTCAAAGGAAGACAACAGATTCAACACATTATTCTTGGGATTTTGTTATTGTTCTTTTAAAATCTTAACCACCGCTACCCCTCCAAAAAAAAAAAAAAAAAAGATTCAGATGAGATGGTCTGAGCCTAAGAGGGATTGGGGCTCTAATTATTTATATAAGTCATATGATGACGTTTTATTCTTTCCTATTTCATGTTTATAAAACAGTGTTCTGAGACTAAATTAGCATTCTAACCGGGCTTTGCTCTGTATTCTCTCTCTCTCTCTCTCTCTCTCTCTCTCTCTCTCTCTCTCTCTCTCTCTGTGTGTGTGTGTGTGTGTGTGTGTGTGTGTGTGTGTGTGTGTGTGTGTGTTTTCTTTTTTGCATTCTTACCCCTCAGTAACTCAGGTACACCTTCAGCTCCTGGAACTCAATACAAATTTTTCCCATTTAATATTACGCCATCCCATCTGCAGACACCAAACCCAGACACTATTGCTGATGCCAAGAAGCGCTTGCTGACAGGAGCCTGGTATAACTGTCCCCTGAGAGGCACAGCCAGAGCCTGACCACTACAGATGACGATGCTCACAGCCAACCATCTGACTGAGCAAGGGGACCTCAATGGAGGAGTTAGGGGAAGGACTGAAGGAGCTGTAGAGGTTTGCAATCCCATAGGAAGAACAACAATATCAACCAAGCAGGCCCCCCAGAGCTCCTAGAGACTAAACCACCAACCAAAGAGTACACATGGATGGACCCATGCTCCAGCTGCATATGTAGCAGAGGATGGCCTTATCTGGCATCAATGGGAGGGGAGGCCCTTGGTCCTATGGAGGCTCCATGCCCCAATGTAGGGAAATGCCAGGGTGGGGAAGCTGGAGTAGGTGGGTGAGTAGGGGAGCACCCTTATAGAAGCGGGGGGGGGGAGGAATGGGATAGGGGGTTTGCAGAGGCGAAACTGGGAATTGGGACAATATTTGAAATGTAAATAAATAAAATAACCAATTTAAAAAAAAAAACAAGATTACTGAAGGATAAAAGGATTGGCCACTAGTCATATATAAATCCATAGAGCTGCTCACATTCCTGATTTATTGTATTGTCGTGCTCATAATGTCAACAGAGCTCTGTTAACTTAAATACTGTATTATACTTGTAGATCACCTACATGATAGAGTGAAGACTTGTGATCATTGTTCTGTTTACTTGGCCAATTTAGAAACCCAGTTGTTCCCAGTTCCCAACTTGATTGAATCGACCTCCTTGTACAGATCCTCCCATATAGGGAAGAGTAAGAGACCTCTGTGAAACCATGCCTCAGAGGTTGTCACACATATGTGACATCTATACTCCACATATTAACGTCAAGAATTTACTTTCCAGTACATGTGAAGGACGAGTTTACACAATGACTGCCAACTGAGAAGCAGGGCCGCTTGTCCTGTCTTATGCTAAGCACACCTCGAAATCATTCTCTTTTATTGAAATTAAATGTTTCCTTGACTTGACTTTGGGTCTTGTATAGACACCCAAGACTGATATTTTCATACAGATGAGTATACGGAGATGTCTGCATCAGTTATACTTCCAAGGATTGGAAACAAACAGGATGGGGAGTGAGGAATGTTGGCATGGAATTGCAGTCTCAGCACCAGTGTGATGTGTCCCCATAGAGTCTTCCGAAGGACTGTCCCCTCACAACTCAGCTGAACTGAAGCAAGGAGCCAGGCCTCTGTGTCATTCTTACCTCATTCCTCCACTCACATCAACCAGCCATAGAAACTACGCAGCTTCCAAGAAGGAGATGAGGAGGGAATTGGGAACAAGTTCTCTGTACCCAGCACTTCTGATCCCCAAGGGAACAGGGTCACTGTGACTACAAATTCTGCTATGAAGTACGTAGCACAGAGTGGACTATGGGGGTGGAGAACAGAAAATGCAGGGACACAAGCCATTCCCCTTGTCTTGCCCCAAAGTGTCCAATGGTCCTGGTACTGCCTTAAAGGACAAAGTATACACACACACACACACACACACACACAAATCAGGAGAGTGCAATGGCAACATAGACAATAACTACTAACTGATAGGAATGGTCACTGTAAGGGGACTAGACATTTTATTATGACCAAGAACAAACCAACAGAAGAGTACAAACATTGGGGAATTGAATTTGCTGCTTTAGAAAATCCATCCATTTTTTTTACATTAAAATAAATCTCTTTATCATTTATTGCCAGTTATCATATTGGTGAGAAAAACCAATCTTTTCTGCCATTATGACCCCAGTATCCGATTGAACTGAGGCCAGGCTGACTCTGGTGACCAGGAGCTTTGCCAGCCGGCTGGTGCATCAATCCTGTAAGGAAGTTTTGATGGCTACAGATTCAAGACAAACAGGTTCTGTGTCCACATAACTCACATTCATGTTTGATTTGTCTCAAGACGCTGCACAGCCCCCTGATTGCCCTGCAATCCTAATTCTAAAACCTTGGATTCTGTAGCTGTCCTCTAGTTCAAAAGGGCATTCTCTAATCCCACTGTGTCTCTTCTTCCCACTGCCTTTTCTCAGTATGTACAGTAAAGCTTCTTGGATTCCCATTAGATAGGAAACTGTGACTCTAGGGAGATGAGCCAAAATTAGCCAGTTTTCCCCTTAGAAGAAACTTCTTCTCCATAGACACAATTCTATTTGCTTTAAAACCGTAAACTATTTAACATGCAATAGCAACCTTTTCTCCTTGCTGAAGCTGACTAAAAAGGAAAAACAGACCTCATATTTAAGACAAGAGTTCAAGGACCTTTCTCAGTCGAATCAACCTGATAAAAATGGCTTTTCCAGGTTGCTATTTTTAGCCCTCATCTTTTCCCTACCAAAATATGTTCTCACTGGTACAAAATGTTAGCTTACATGCACTAAGACTCATTTCTCCCCAATTGTGGGATTAGTAAAAATAACTCCACCCAAGTAAAGCAAATGGCATCTGAGTGTTTGAAATGATGTCAATGGAAGCCAGATTTCATGTGACTCTAACAGATAACTATGTCAGATGACCGTGTTGAGATTAATTGTTTGAGCTATTATTACTGCATTATATAAGCGTATTGAATTTATCGTCAGCTTATAATTTGCACACTGTAGACATAGGAGACACAAAGGTCCTATTATGTAGGGGAAAAAAACATTATATTCTTCTGCTCCCATTCCAGTTTTACCAGATGGTCCACATTAGCAAATCCTGGACATTGTCGTTTAAAAACATCAGTCAGCACCCCCTGGCAATGGGCAAAAGACTCCTTTTGGTGACTGTGTTCTTCTATCAGTCAGGGGCAGATGGCAGTCCTTTGTTCATCCTAGCTTGATGCCTGGCTTGGTGGCCAAAGCTGTCCTATGCCTAGGACACATAAAAAACAAATGTAATCAAATCCATACAACACAAAGTGGGAGGAGGAAGACAGAATTGCATTCCACCATGCCACTCAGTGCAGGTGAAGAAAGATGCCCACAGACCCACCCTCCATCCCCACAGAATGGGTAGGCCATAGATACACAGAGCCTAGCCTATGATACAACCATGCAACACAGCATGGGAAGAAGACCCAGACCTGTGGAAAACCAGGCCAGCCACAAACCTGCCCTCCAGCACATGGCAATAGGCAGGCCATGGACACTTGCTTGCCAGAGGATGTCACCCAGGGACCTGCCAGTTGCATGATGTCAGTAGGAACCACTACAGTGTGTGAGTATGGGATGGGCAGATAGGAAAGAAAGAAAAGTGGACCAGCTTGAGCGTTGTGAAAAGCAAAGGAACTGGAGACTCAAGGATGGAGAGGAGTAGCCTGTTGTGAGTGGACCTACAGCCATGATGAGGTCCCAGCCCAAGCTGCTGCTGAGGACCATGTCTGGGACTGTGGCTATGCATCAGTAGGGGTCTGTGTTGATGTCCCCATCAGGGGTCATGTGGATGCCTAGAGGATGTACAGAACTAAACTGGCCCTGCTCCTCACTAGCTCTGGAGAGCCTCACTGGTGGCACCAGTCACCTGTCATCGCCCTGTAGACCCTGTGCCTAGCCAGGCAGCACATTGGAGCTGGCCCAAATGGTGGGGAAGTGGGGGAGCAGGCCCAGCTGTGTGATTATAGGTGAGTTGACCCCTCCATGTGTCTGCCTTAGAATGACATGGACACAGAGGTGATCCCTACTTCCTACCTCTGGGGTCATGAAAGCTGTCCACTGGGTCTTGAGTACAAGAGAACTAGCTCTGCCCCTCAGCAGCTGAAGCACTTGGGAGAGCAGGTCCTACACCTCACCTTGACAGCACAGCAGAGCTGATGCTGGTGATGAGGGTCCAGGTGAGTTGGCCCTGAGGGTGAGAGTATGGGAGAGCTGGTCCAGCCACTCATCTGCCATGAGGTAGTGTGGGTGCAAGAATGATGCTCTCCCTGCTCACCACCTGTAGTAGTTAGTAGTAGAGAAAGCTTGCCCTGAGGGCCTGAAAGCAGGAGACCCCGTTTGAGGCTACCTCCTCATGGGCTGAAGCGCTTGGGAAATTGGAAACCTCACCTGGGATACACAGTGGAGCTCACCCTGATGGCGAAAGCACAGGTGAGCCCCAAGGATGAGACAGCAAGAGATCTAGTCTAGCCCCTAGCAGGCTGCAGCACTTGCAGAGTGGGTCTGACTGAACGGCACAGTGGACTGGCCTAGGAGACATACATACAGATGAGCTGACCCCGAGGGCATTACAGCAGGAGAGCTGACTCTGCTTCCTGCCAATGGTAGCATTGGGTAGCCTAGCCAGAACAGTTCTGGAAAGCTAGCCATGGTGGCATGAATAAGGAAGAGCAAGTTGGATGTCCAGATCAACTACCTACCACCCAAGCTCAGATCCGGGGCTCTGAGTTGGCCTACCTCAAAATCTTTTTCATCTGCTAACACTTGGGACCTGTGAAAGGGCCAGTCCTGGTGATCCAAAGCTGCAGGATCTCCATGACACAAGACAACAGCAGGATAACTGGGAAGAGGCCTGGGGAGGATTCAATACTGATGGTATCACAGAAACCAGAGATCTTGAACCAGAGCAATGATGCATTGTAATGAGTACTTGCAAGTCAAGTTGTGTGGACAGAGCGATATACTGTGGGACACACTGTGACACACTACAGTTTCCATGATGAGAAGTATTTTGTGCTTTGTTGTTATTATTGGTGGTGGTGGTGGTGGTGGTGGTGTGGTTGTTTTTTGGGAGGGAAGGAGGTTGCACATGCAAAGAGTGGATGTGAAGGAGAGGGAGATGAACAGGACTGGGGTGCATGATGGGAAACTCACAGAGAATCAAATGTCTAAAAAAAAAATCAGTCAATATCTGTCTCCATCGTGCAATACAGCTTTCTCATCACAGAAGGGAAGGCTTCTTTTCTGTGGATGTCTGTGGTAGAGAATGATCAATCTAGGAACAAAAAACATAAACATCTTTGCACACTAATTCCCTCTCATTCCATCATCAGAGCCTGCTTATCTCTTCCTAGTCTTAAACCTAGGTTCTAAACTAGAGATCTACTTGAAATATTCCTGTAGCTCTGTTAAGAGAGACACTGGATAACCCTTCACCTTGTCAGGGAGAGCTACTAACAATGATAAATAATGACCCACAGGCTAGCAAGGAATATCATGAAAACTGATTCAGCATTGGTCATGATGAAACCAGGTTTGACCAAGATACCCAGGCTTCCTGAAAAAGTTAGTTTCAAAGATGTGCTTTGAAAACAAAAACAATTAAAAATCAGGAATTATTTTTAAGGCGGTTGCAGGAAAGGTACTTGAGACCATAGAAGAATAAGGGTAAGGAATGACCTAAAGTACAGTATGTATCTGAGAAAACTAGAGATCTAGTTTGGTGGCTGCAATTAAGTATATGGATACTACTAACACAGAAGGAACTAGAAAAGGCAGATTTCATTAATTTCTGAAAATCTGTAAATCTGTCAGAAGAAGACTTCATCTAATTGAGTAGACTTTTGAAAACAACTCATGTTTGGGAGAAGAAACAATATTATGCCCAGATGCATAATATTGTTCAAGAAGATTATTCTGACAGAAGAAAGATGAGGCAAGAGGAGAAACATCGGGTGGTTGTTTCAAACAAAAAGAACTCAGAATATGAGGGAAAGGACAGCCCAGGAGAGGGAGGACGAGATAAAAGATTCAATGACCATCATGCCATCATGGAGACTGGGTCAGAACAACAAGACTTCTAATGTAACTGCTGAGCCATTAGTAGAAGTCAGATTTTCCCAACATCTCGAACCTCCCCCAAGATGAATAATTTATGAGCCACGGTGATATGAAAACAGGAAAAAAACATGTCTTATTTATGAAATATATGATGAGTCTTATTTTATATTTTAGCATACCATGGATAGCTATTGTGCCTCTACTTCATAGATGAAAATTAAGAGGATGACTAAGATTCAGGAGTAAAGGTGACTATATCAGACACCTCTCATCCCACCATAGATGCTCTTGACAATTTTCGTCTTGGTCTAATTCCATGACAAATCCTATACAAGCTTTAATAGTCTCCAATTGCCCAGATCTGGTGCTAATAGATCATCCTTCACCTTCTATGCCTTTGAGTTTCCCATTGCCGCTGAGGGAGACAGTCCCACCTCAAGTGTCCAACCCCAGTGACGGACTTCTTCCAACAAGGTCACACACTCCAACAAGGCCACATCTCCTAATAGTGTCACGTCTTTTAAACCATCACAGAGATATTCTTAAAATGTAGCCCTGAGTGGCCTGGGACTCACTATGTAGACAAGGCTAGTCACAAATACACATAAATCTGCCTGCTTTTGCCTTCCAAGTGATGGAAAAGGCACTTATCATTGTAAACTTAGATTTTCAAAACTACTTTAATAAGGGTTCTTAAACACTTGAATCTCCCTTGTAATACACCACCCACCAGAGGTAATGGAAAGGAAAGATTAGTAGGGTAAAGGGAATGTGGGCCTGTTTAGAAATAGTTCTTTGGGGTGATTCCAATCTTCATTGTCAGGATATCAGCAGCTGAGTTCACATGAATCAAAAGAAACTGCAAGGCTCTGCCAATCAGCTCAACACCATACAGAAGCAGAAGCAACACGAAGCTACCAGAATATCACAAGAACTTCTTTGGTGTGTTTCTCTCTGTGTAGTCACAACAAACAATGATCAGTGAAGAAAGCAAGGTAAACCAATGACACAGTGTTTTCACCAAAGACCAACCATCAGCACAGCCCAACAAAGAGGGGCAAGGTACACAAATGCCACAGTGTCATCTACTGTCTATAGGTTTATACTTACACCCTTTCCAAACATTGTGTGCCCTCTCAAGCGTCCACCCCAGGAAAACATTACATGCTCTTTCTCTAGTCAGCTTCCCAAGAAAACACTATATGTCTGTTCTCACCAAAACATCCTCCTATGTGCCTGCTTCAGGACACACTGCCTATGTGTCCTCTCATAAGGCAGTTCCCTGAAAAGACATCACATGACACAACTAAGTCTCCAAAGAAACCAGAAATTACCTAGCCTAGTTTGACCTATTTTTAACTCTGACCTCTCTGGAGGCCTGAAAGGGGCAAATACTTAGTAACAGTGACAACAGTAAGTTCCATACTGTCTCCTTCAAAGATTAATGATTTCATATCTTAGAAGAAGGACATACAAGACAAGACTGGGATTCTCTCTCTCTCTCTCTCTCTCTCTCTCTCTCTCTCTCTCTCTTTCTCTCTCTCGTGTGTGTGTGTGTGTGTGTGTGTGTGTGTGTGTGTGTGTGTGTGTGTGTTGAGAAAAAAGCCTAAAACCTAATGAAGTAAAGTCATAAAGACTCAAGAGGAGTCAGGGCTTCAGACTTGAGCTAGGTTGAGGATCAAGAATAATAATGATAACAAAAAAAATCAATGGCTAATCTAGGTTGTCAATGATGGGCTTAGAATCACCACAAGAATAAACTTTTGAAAGTATCTATGATAGATTTTCTAGACTGTGTTAATTAAGGTGTAAATGTGGGTGGCACCATACCATGGGCTGGGATCCTGGAGTGAAGAAAAGGAGACAGTGAGCTGAGGACCACCACCCATATCCCTGCTTCCCGACTGAAGATGCAATGTGATCATCTCGTTCGTGCCCTTTCTTCTGTGCTTTACCCACCACGAAGGATTCTACTTTTAGACTATAAGTTAAAGTAAGCTCTTCTATCCTTATTTTTGCCAGGCATTTTATCTCCGCAATACATAAAGTAGCTAATATATGCATATAGAAGAAATCTTTCCATTGAAACTTTGGGCTGAAAAGATGATTCAGCATTCAAGGACACTGGCTGCTCTTCCAAAGGAAGAAGTGCAAATCCTAGCAACTCAAGATG